TTTTGTGCTTTTATCTTAGCCCTTTCTATCTACCTCGAGTTCTTGAAAATTGTGGCTACACTTATATCTTTCTTTACTGATGTCAGTGTAGGAGTTCCTTGACCCTGATCCTTCTTCTTTATCTACTCTGATGGTGTTGCTTCCACTGGGCTTTGTCTGTAGTGTATGAGGTCCTCATTTCCAACATTTTGCTGTTGTTGTTTTCAAAATCTGTTTCCTCGTAGAATTTCTCATCCCTGTTGCTGAATTGTTCATGTATGTTAATAACTTTCATTTCTAGGTCTTGATTTATTGCATTCATCACTCTTTTGTATCCTTTTTGAAACTACTGATTGTTAGTACAAGAGTTCTAAGTATTCCTGGCTCTTTTTTTTTTCCCTTGGAGACAGGGTCTCCCTGTAGAGCCTCAGCTGGCCTGAAACTCACTGTGTAGAACAACTTGACCTCAAACTCAAGAGATCCGCCTGCCTCTGCCTCCGAGTGCTGGAATTAAAGGAGTGTGCCACTATGCCTGGCTCATCTCAGTATCATTTGAGTCAATCAAGAAGTTATGACCATTTGGAAGCATCATTTTTGCCTTGTTTTTTCATATTTCTTGTATTTCCATGTTGCAGTTTTCACATTTGGATGAATATCTCATCTTATTTGGGAATCTATTTAGTGAGCCATTGTCTCTTGCCAGTTCAATGACTGGGACCATTCAGAGAAAATAAAATAAACCCCTGCAACACAAAACCAAACCAGATATACTTAAAATTGATTAAAGATCATTACTACACCATCAATGACCGTAGAATAGAAAATGAAAGAAATTATGTAAACTATGAAGTTAAAAAAAGTTGGTAAAAATAAAAATATGATAGGAAATGAAGGAAGTGAAGGAAAGGTGGTAAGAAAGGGGAAAAGAAAAGACAAAGTGAAATAAAAGAAAGGAAAAAGTGCAGATAAATGTGAGCAAGAGGAAATGATTGAAGTAATCTGGGGAATAAGGAAAAATACATAAAGAACGTTAAATGTGCGGAGCATAGTGGTTCATGCCCTTAATCCCAGCACTTGGGAGGCAGAAGAAGGTGGATTTCTGTGATTTTGAGGCCAGCCTGGTCTACATAGCAAGCCTCAGGCCAGCCAAGACTACATAATGAGACCCTATTTCAAAAAAAAAAAAAAAGAATATTTACTCCAAGGAGAGACAGATCAGCAGTTAAGAGCACTGGCTACTCTTGCAAAGGACCTGGGTTCAGTTCCCAGCACCCATGGCAGATAGCCCATCCATAACTCCAGTTCCAGAGGATCCAATGCCCTCTTCTGTCCTCTGTGGGCACTGCACACAAAGGTGCACTTACATACATGCAGGCAAACACTCATACACATAAAACCAAACAATTTAAATTAACTAAAATAAATTTAACAGCAAAAGTAAAGGGGAAACACAGAAAAGAATGAGAAAGAGATAGAATATAAAAAAGGTGATGTACCCTCTATTCATGGCTAAATACTTAAAGGTTGTTTATAGCTTCTTTAAAGAATTCTTGCTTAAACAAAGTGAAATTATGTCCTAGAAAAGTGGAAGCTATTTGTAACTAGAACAGCATCACTGTAAAAGTTGTATGAATATGTATTTTCATGTATTTTAATGATAAAGGAGTGGGCTTGAATCCACACTAGTTAATGGATAATTCAGAACAGGGGATTGATTTTGAAATAGTGCCTGAAAATTATAGATCTCTTTTTTTAAAGTCAATTTTGATCATCTGCAAAAAAAAAAAAGTGGGGGGGGAGTGATGTATTGGAGTGACTTCTTTCTGGTCCCTCTAATATTGGAAGGAGGTGTTGGTTAGTTGAAGTTGGAATCTCTTGTCTTCCCTACTCTTTAGGCTGGTGCTGAGCCTGGTATAGTCAAAGGCAGATATCCCACAGGTCTGCCTACACTTTGGGAGCTTCTTTTTTTTGCGTACCAGTAGCCTCTGCTGGCCACACTCAGCTTTGCAGCCTATTGTCTGGGCAGGTTTTCCCATGTTTCCAGGACTCCATAGTTGTACAATCTGGAGTGATTAAGATACATGGCAAGGGGTGATTCCTGTGTGCTATAAAATAGGAGAGCAAACAGAGGCCTGAGATCAGTACTGAAGGACCAGTCTCTGATTTCAACGTACTCAGCCATGTGCTGCCCGCTCTCCTTTACCATATGTACCACCCTTCTGTTTCCCCGGGCTTTGCAACTCTCCTCTTAGTGCCTTTGTGATTTTTGGATGTTCTTCCTATCTTGTTATCCTTGGAATAGAGTCTATTCTTTGCTAAACTGACTTTTGCAATTCCTCATGCCACACAGAGACAGCTTCTAATCCACCATCATAGTCTAAAATTCCAAAGTCCTTAAAAGTATAAAAAGATGCTCAAACTCTTTTTCTGCCTTCCAAGATATCCTCCTTTCCCTGCTAGCAATCTCCCAAATACAACATCAAGGGTGACAGAGGCTGTGGCAGAGCCATATGACTCCTGAAAAGAGGGGACAGCCTGGAGACAGATTCAAAGGCTATAAGCTCCAGAGACAAGGGCCCACTCTGCTCTCATGAACTCACTCGCTGTAGGGAACTGGTGAAATGGTTTTGGGCTGCAAGAAGGACCTGTTTATCCTCACCAGCCACCTGGCCAACCTAGGGGCCAAATTTCTGTGCATGCTGGACTCAGGGCCAACTACTTGCACTTGGATATAATGGGTGGGCATTTTAATCCCAACATCACCTTTGGTCACCTTGTGGTGGAAAGCCTCTGAAGGCAGCTAGGCCAGAACCCTTTCTCTGACATGCACATGATGGTGTTCAGGCCAGAACAGTGGGTAAAGCCAATGGCTATAACAGGTCAAAACACTCTTCATCTTGAGACAGCAGAGAACCTGGGGCTTTTGAATAAACACATCCAGGAAAATGGAATGAAGGTTGGCCTTGCTCTCAAACCAGGAACTACAGTTGAATATTGGCCCCATAGGCTAATCAAATAGATATGGCCTTGGTAATGACCATAGGACCTTGGTTTTGAAGGCAGAAATTCATGGAAGAGATGATGCTTAAGGTTCACTGACTGAGGAACCAGTTCCCAACTTTGGATATAGAGGTCAATGGTGGAATAGGTCCTGACACATTCCATAAACATGTGAAGGTAGGAGCTAACATGTGAAGGTGTCTGCAGTCTGCAGTGCCATTATAAGTGATGACTCCAGAGCTCTGATCAACCTACTAAGAAATGCTTGCTTAGAAGCTGCTCAGAAATAGTCTCTTTTTTTAATTTAAAATATATTTATCTGGGCTGGAGAGATGGTTCAGCAGTTAAGAGCACTGGTTGTTCTTGCAGAAGACCTGGGTTCAAATCCCAGCGCCCACATGACAGCTAACAACTGTCCATAACTCCAGTTCCAGGGGATCGAACAGCCTCTTCTGTCCTTCGCGGGCATTGCAAAACATGGGTGCACTTGCCTACATGCAGGCAATACATGCGTACACATAAAATAAAAATAATAAAATATTTTTTTAAAAAAGAACA